AATTCAGAAAAATATTAAGCAGTTTTCAACATGGATAATAATAACAAATGTTTCTTGAGCAGAAAGAATGATTTCTAAAAGATCATGTGGCACTGAAGACAGCTCAAAATTCAGCTTTGCCATCACAGGACAGGACTAAATCTTGAAATGTATTAAAATAGAAAACAGTTCTTTTAAATTGTAAAAAAATATGTTACAATAGTACTGTTTTTAATGTATTTTTGATCAAATAAATGCAGCCTTATGAGCATAAGATCTTCTTTCCAAAACATGGATATAAATCTTTCCGACCCCAAATTTTTGAAAGGTAGTTTATATATATTTACATTTTCATGGAATACTTGAACTCCTATATCTCCAGCTTTTATTTATCAAACCTTACAGTATTCCCGTGGCGTAGTGGTAAACGCTTTCACACATTGAGCTGGTGTGGTCATATGGGTGACACAAATTAAAACCTGGCTTGATATACTTCCAGTTTTCTGAAAAACATGACAACAGAGACTACAAAAATATCTATGAATGTTGTGGTGGAAAAAATATTAACAATTTCAAATTCTGCTAATTATTTGTCAAATAATTTCACTTGTGTGGATATTATACTTTTAAAGATATTTTGAAAATTGAAAAATATATATGTTTAAAAGCACCGTAGAGAAGAAGGAGAGCCAGATGAAGGAGAACAAGCCAGAGCAGAGTCCTTGAGTCTGTTGCTGGATCCGTCAAGGGCTTGCTCATACCTGTATCATCTTCAGTCCTTGCTGCACACCTGGCCGGGCCTCCCTTTTAGTTGTCTCCTAGACACGACACAGCATGCATATTTGTGTGTGTTAGACAGAGAGAGTGGGAGGTCTTCAAGTAATAATGTGCTAATTTCTTTAAAAGGGACATTCCCACTTTCCCACATTAATCAAGTGTCTCATTAATAGACATAAAGCACCATGTAAAGCCAGAAACTACAATGACTTTAAAAGTTTGTAATACAATATTGAAAACTGAGCTGTTGGTTTGAAAGGTTTTCTGGTACTGAGATACAATGAGAAAGCGTAGCTTGGTAGCATAGCTATTCTCTGAGAAAGTAATTAAAACAAGCAGAAGCCTTCTGACAATTTGAGAGTCAAGCTGGACCTCTAGTGTTTCTCACAAAAAACAAGAGTAAAGTTTTTCTCATTCTCTCTCTCTCTGTCTCCACCGAAGCCCCTCCTGGTGGGAGGGGTAACCCCCCCGTGTCAGACTTCAAAGAGGAGACTGAGCTCCTCTTGCATTCATTTCAGTCCACCAGCTTAACCACCGAGTTCAAACAGCTCACCCACACCCTGTGAGCTGAGGACTGGAGGAGCTGCACACAGCACAGAGGCAGACACTAGCAGATACATGCACACAAAAGGCACAAACACACAAACTTTCATGCACAAACTTGCACAGAGCTTCATAATAATGTTCAGAGACATTTATGAATGCAGTCTTTCCAAACTTTCTCCTGAAATTGCTATGGAAAACTTCATGGTAGTAATTTTCATTCTTCCCCATATCCAAGACAGACTCTGCTGTTCGACCTAATTTTCGGATAGACTACTGCAGTTTCAAATAACCTGCTTTCTATTTTAACATATTTAAAAAAGTCATTTATTCCTGTGATGCCAACGCTGAATTCATTACTCCAGTCTTTAGTGTCACATGATCCTTCAGGATATAAAAGAAATAGTTCTGGTCCTGGCTTCTGATTGATCAATCCAACGTTTCAGTCATGCTTAAATCAACTATATAGTAACAGTTACGGTGTGGAAAAAAACTGTTCGCCATATCACTATGCAGCACTCAGTGTATCACTATTTGATTATTATTATTATGCAAACATGTGACACTATTTACATGTGACTAATACGAAATAACCAAGGCAAACAAACATACATACACACAACAAACATGACAAGTCTATTCTGATAACTGTTTATATATATATATATATGTGTGTGTGTGTGTGTGTCATTATTTTTGTTGCATAGCAATGTTATGTCAGGGACTCTCTTCTAATCTAGCGGAAGGCTGTTACTTAAAGGAATAGTTTTTAAACATTTTGTTTACTCACCCTGAAGACTTTCAGTTTCGAAGTTTCAACTGTTTTTGTCTAAAAAAATAAAATAAGTACCTGGACCCCCTATAGGCTTTCACTGCATGGAAGAACAAAAGTGATTAGGATGTGTAAATTATGACAGAATTAATTTTTTGGGGTGAACTATGCTTTTAAGAATTTGCTTATTTAACAATAAAAATATTCTTAACATTTTATTTTAAACAAATAACACAGTATATTATTTGAGGTGAAACATTTAATGCTTGAAATATTCAAATAGGCTTTACAGGCTTTTATAAAAAAAATAAAAAATAAAAAAAAGATAGACAGCAGCTCTAATATAGCACAATTTTGATTGTCGTCCCTCATTTGAGAATAAGAGCGCTTACTAGTGCTACATTAAGTGCTGACTTCAGTGGAGTACTTACTCTCTGCCCTAGATTCAGGCAACCCACTCTAGAGCTCTATATACAGTCGCAAGCTCTGAGCAAATTGCTTTAGATATTGACACTGTAGAAAAAGGTGAATAACATTTAATTTTGGCAGTCATTTGGGATAAAAAGTGTGCTTCACCTTGAGCATTAGTGACTGTATATCGATGCACGCAACTCTTGTCTATTTCCGATGCGGTCTGGGGTCTTCAGTTCACAGTTTGTCGAATATGTTTACAACAGCATTTTTTTTCTCTCAAATTAAGCTTTATTTAGATGTGGATCAGTCAGAAGGCCTAAAGGGGTAGTTGTTAAAAAGTATAAAAAGCATAAATGATATGTTTCAAGTATCGCATAGTTTTGTACTCTTCGCAGAACAGAACGAGACGCACATTATTAACAAGAACTTTGCAAACTCTGGGAGATTTTCTCTAGGAGACTTGGAAAGTACCCGCTCCCTCCCTTTTCTCCCCCTCTTCTTCGTGAGAGAGAGCATGTGTGTTCGATTAACATTTGCCGGAGTATTTGTTTATGGAGTGCTCTCTCTCTCTCGCTATGGCCCCACCCCTGGAATTCCGGGTGTTCCATATTTCCCGAACATGGTTCAGGAATTCTCTGACCTGATTCCACCAACTCCAAGACCTCGTCTCACATTTTCTCTGTTTAAAGCGCCACATTTATATAAATATACACAAATATATAACATTTAGCATTTCTGCTAACAAAGGGAAAGACCCAAATTTACAAAACTATTTTCAGGGTGAAAAAAAGTCTGAAACACAACTATGCTGTCTGCTTTTGACCCCCCTCCCCTCTCTTTCTTTCCGTCTTCCTCTCTCTACTTCTCTCAGCAGACAAACATGTCTCGTTAATCCTCTTGGCTTTCATAACTATGAACAGGAAATGCTTCTTTTGCACTAGACACATCGCTGGATTTTAACATTTCGGTCCTCTCAAAAATAAAGGCCTAAAACCATTCATTTATTTTTATATAATCAATTACCACTCTTTATATTTAAAAAAAGAACCTGCTGACATGTGGATAAAGTCACTGCTATAAAACTAAAAGAAAAATGGCAAAAGGCTGTTTATATCCCTTAGATGTCCTTTTTTCTGCCTGCCATTTAAAGGGGTCATGAATTGAGAATTTCAAAATTCCCTTGATCTTTTGGATATGTAAGAGGTCATTGTGCTATAAAAACACCCTGTAAGTAGTTCAAAAACAGAATTTAATAAAAACCAAGCTCTAAAAACTACTCATTTTGGATTTTGTCACATTATGACGTAATAGTGCAATGAAAGACCGCCTCTGCAGAATCAGATCAACGACCTATTTCTACATTAGTGATGTAGTGATTAGTTTCCCAAGTGTGGGTATCTGCAGGTTGGAGTTATGGGCGTGACGAAAGGTAGGGGCGTGGATAAAGGTCTTTATCATTGGTCCAAAAAATGTCTGTCAGGGTGTGGGGTAGGGTTAGGGGTTAGTTTCTGTTGTAGAAATTCAACTTTCGGCACGCCCATTACCTCGACCTTAAGCTATCCCTGTCTCGCCTTTCATGCAACAGAGTAGATCTAAATATATGCTATAATCAACATTTTTCACGATTAGTTAAAGGTACACTGAAGTGCTTTGAAACGTGCAGCATTATTCAATGTGTTGATGTAACACTAAAACAGGAAGACAGGGTGGGACATATCGAACAGCTCCACCCCTTTTTTTAAATTGCCAATAGCGTTTAGTTTATATCACAGCTTGGCCAGAGCCGTTGATGAAAAAGTTGTAAAAAAAAAATCTTACAAAAGCTCCATATTGCTTTAAAATATAGCATTCTGTGCAGAATTCAAATGGGTCCATTACGTTTACTGGTCTGCGCCGACTCACATATGATCGGCTCTGTGCTATCGTGTCTCTGCACCAGAGCAAACTGTGTGCGGCTGCGGCGGTTCACTTGACACTAACGTGAAACCAGACTTCATTCACCTCAATGGAAAGCATATTTACACTGTCTGAATTGTTCCTTTTCCCCTATAAAGTGCACCGTGTGCCATTCACCATGTAGAAAATAGTAAATGTGTGAACAAGTGACCAATTTTAGCCGCAGCTTCAGCGTCTATTTATAATGTAGTGGGCGGGACGCTGTAGATTTTAGAGAGCATTTGATTGGACAGAAAATCTGATGAGAAGCTGAAGTGCAGAATGATGTCATCAAAATCATTGATCCATTTTGGCGGAAGTGAGAGACTGTAAGTTTTGAATGCTTATATCTTCTAAATGCGAATTTTGTCATTGTTTTATAGCACACTAGCTTATAGATTATGCCAACGCTTATAGATAAGGCTAACATATTCGTACTAAATGCCAAAAAAAAATCGATTTCATGGGGACTTTAATCTCGACTGCTATAAGTTCCACATGTAATACTTAGTTCATAATCAAAGATGTTAGCCAATGGGCGTTTAAATTAAAGTCTCACAGCAGACACGCATCTAAAAGCTAAAATAAGGGTAGAAATGACCTTTTATTTCTAAATTATGGCAATTTTTTAACATTTTAAGTGAACTTCAGAAAACATTATAAAATGTTTTTCTTTTTTTAAATGCAGTTCATGACCAGCATGTCATTAACATTTCAGTCATCTTTCAAATATTGACCTGAAACTGATGAGGGACAATAATTGGAGTCAAAGCAATCTAAAAAAAAAAAAAAAAATTACATTCAAAAATTATTAAGAAACAGTCTGTTTAACTTAAAAAATAATTTCATCATAATTCAACCAATTGTTGCCTATACAAACACTCTCTCAATTCCCCCCTCACTCGCCTTCTGTAAGGTAACAGCCATATAATACTGACCAAGAGAGTGACAGAGTGGACACCAGTAGAGGGAGTGTATGAAGAGTTGACTGCACATGTAACTAACCCATACGCCACTTCCTGAGAAGAGTTTCCTCAGTACAGAGACACTCCCGTCCCTACAGCGGCTCATGATGCATCCAGCAGCAACCAAAACTGCAAGTTTCTGAAGGAGAGCAGGCCACTTTTGTTTTGCGTTACAAACATACTGCTGTACATCTGAGCTTGTGTGCGTAGCCTATAAGAAGACACAAAGAACATATGAGAAACAAAAGAAAATGTTTACTAATATAGAAAACACATGCAGTCTGTTTAGACTGAAAATCTAAATTCTCATGTAAGATGAATAATGTTCATAACGTTTTCAGACTGTGAAATTATGTATTCTCATAAACATATGATACAAATAAAAAAATATATTAAAAAAGCTGGCATAAATCGCAAGATGCAATTTCTAATTTACATTATCTTGTCTAGGATTATTTTAATTAAATAACCGTTTATTTCTATATAATCGATTTTAAAACCCTTTTTATTTTTAATAAAGAACCGGCTGACATGTGGATACATTTACTGCTATAAAAGAAAAATAAATATTCTGTTTATATCTCTTCTATTTCCTTTTTTGGCCGTTTGAGCATGTCATTATTGGCAGAGCTGATTTGATGCTTGCATTTTCAGGGGGAAATTGTTAGTTGTAATATTTCACTCTCTCTCTCTCTCTCTCTCTCTCTCTCACACACACACACACACACACACACACACACAGCGGTCTAAGCACTTCAAGGAGAAATGGGCCCTCTGCAGGAGAGCATTAGTAGGCGAACCTCGAAATCAACGCTAAGTGTCACCACGGCACCAGCCATTGGATTCATGACGCACACAAGCTGAAGGATAAAAATAAGGCACAAGCTACACTCTTGAGAATGCCTATGTACCTGACACTTCCACGGGCGCTCACTTTTCTGTGGAAACGGACTGATACGAATTTCAGTATGGAGAAAGGAAAAACATTTGCTGCGAATTCGCTCATATGCTTCTAAAGTAGTGCGCGCTGCAGCACAACCTCTCTGTCTTCCGATGTCACCCTGCAGCGCGCACACGTGGGCGAGCCCGCGCAAGCTCTGTTGAGCTGGAGGGAGGAGTAGGCACGCAAGTCAAACATGCATCCTGAGTCTGACATATGGAACATTTAACTTATGTCGCTACCGGACTATAGAACGTAATTTATTTAGAATAATATATTTTATTAAATATTTTAAGACCCAATTCTACGATATGCTTGCTCTCCTGTCGTTTAAAAAAAAGAAAAATGTGCGTCCTTCACCTAAAATAGCCCGGTAACTGTTAGCCTACATGTAAACATTTAACGTTAATATGGAACATTTTAAATAGCCTACTTAAATTATATATGGTTTTGTTTTGTTTTGTTTACTTGCTTATATTATAGGCCTACTAAATTATTTTGGTTGAATTCCACGTGAATGCGTCCGTGCGCGGGTACCAATGTCCATATCCACCTAGAAGCCATCAAACACGCACCCCCCTTCGACTGTAGAGGGTAGTGAGGAGAATAATTTCTGGCACTGTGAGACGCAAAACTACAGCCGTGTTTAAGTCTCAGTTTAAATGAAACCAGATGATATTCTACCTAAAGTAAAAAATACTACAAAGTCTTTGTGCATTTTTAAAATCCTTCGGGTCGTTATGTGCACTTTGGTCTGAACCAAGTCTGTCATTCATGTTAAAATCAATGAAATTGATTACCAGATCAAGGACAGAGCCAAAGAAAACCCCTATTTCTAGCCTTTAAGATGGTTGTTGTTTTTCCACGGTGCACACATAGTCTTCTGAGTTACTAAATTCTGAAATAAAGGATACAGATCTTGGACTTAATGAAATGTACGCACATAAACTTTTGAAAATATAAATTATAGAAAACAATTTACATTTTGTAGAAATTCCTGCTCTCTGGAACATATTGACAGCTCTGAAAAAAACTCGTATGGATGATTTCTGCTCATTTTTCTATTTTATTCAATTAAATTTGATTAATTTGGTATGTGATTGACAGATGTTTTGATGCATATAATCTGATACAAAATCATAATTCCTTAGCCACAAAAATATCAAGAGTAACTTCAAAGATAAAACGGTAATGCTTTACAATAGGGTTTCATTAGTTAACATGAACTAATAATGAACTGCACTTCTAGCATTTATTAATCTTTGTTAATGTTAATTTCAGCATTTACTAATACATTATTAAAATCAAAAGTTGCATTTGTAAACATTAGTTATTGCACTGTGAACTAACATGAACAAACAATGAACAGCTGTATTTGTTATTAACTAACTTTAACAAAGATTAACAAATACAGTAACAAATGTATTGCTCACTGCTAGTTCATGTTAGTTAACACATTAACTAATGCTAACAAATGAAATGAAATGTTATTGTACAGTGTTACCGATAAAACTAAAAAGAAATTAAACACCATATGTTGTTTGAAGAAACCACGTAACATTTAATAGCTAGGTTATGGGACTACTAGTAAAATACTACTAAACTCATTTGACTTAAAATGTAATTAAATAAAAGATAGCAGGACAGCAATAATGTTGTGCATTCTTTACAAAAAATATGAGCAAATACCTAAATACTATGTGTGTGTGTTTGTGCTGTGTTGGAGATAAAAAGAGCAAGAAAAAAAGAGTTTGTGTATGTGTGTGTGTGTGTGTGTGTGTGTGTGTGTGTGTGTGTGTGTGTACCTGTGTGAGGGAGAGATACAGCTCCCTCTTTCTTTCATTCTCTGTATCTCTCCAGTTCCCCTCCCCTCACCCCCATCCCTTTGGTGAAGAGTGAACACACCCTCGGTCCGTGGCATGCAGATGAGTCTCAACAGGTTACAGGAAGCTGAAATTCCAGAAGAGCTAGAAAAGCTCAGACAGGAGAGGCTGCTCAGGGAGTTCATTTGTCACATATGACATCAACTCTCAAACATTTCTTAAGAAAGTCGTTGATTCTACAAAAAAACAACAACAACGACCTACCTGCTACCTTGTGCATTGCAAAAAGGGCTCTTTATTTTTAATGAATTAGATCATTAAATGTGTTCGGTGTATTTATTGCCATATATATGAGAATAGTATTAGCCAGCCTGAAAAGAGCCTGACCATTTCAACCCAGCGTATTTCACAACTAATTCATGTTTTTAACTCTGTATTTAGGCTATATAGTCTATATAAATGGCGTTACTTTATCTAGGTTAGTGAAAATAATCACATAATGGGTTTACCCTGCCTTATATATCACGTATGTTCATATTATCAAATTTTCTTGCAGAACTAATGCAAATGGAAATTGTCCGATAGACTCTGGAGGAAAGCAGGCTACTTTCCGACCGTTAACTCAGCCTGCTTTACGGGAATAGAAACATGCGGGGAGATACAATCATTACCATGGAAACCAATCTTGCCTGAGGAGGATGGGGATGGGGAGGTCAGGACAAGTGGTTGCCTTGGAAACCGCACACATTGCTCACGCTCAGAGCCCTCCCTTAGCGGGCTGACGTGTTGCAAAGGGGGTCGGCGACTTTAATTGGCCGAAATTCAGCCTCTGGGCTTGACACCTCCCTCCCAACACAGTTCGTGCTCTTAAAGGGGAAATAAAATGCAATTTGTGAACCCGGGCTAAAAATACTTCTGCAAAGAATCAGTCAAAAATGTTACATGAATATATGGAATATGCAGTCTTATTTGGTAAGTTGTCGCTGACTGTTGCTCCTGCTCTAGACATCACAAAAAAATGGAAAGTGAATTGCGCAACAGCCAAACGCAGAAGGGACAGCTTGTGTTTAGTAGCAGGCTGATAAAAACTAAAAAAAGACTAAATGTTGGTCTTAAAAACTCTCTCCCACAAGAATGTACAGAGTACTTTCTTATTAAAAACAAAGACCAGTAAACTAATAATCCAACTTGCAAAACGAGATATAGCCTATAGATTAACGTTTTATTTATTCGTCAAGGACGTGAACCGTCACTATTCTCTTAAAAGCGCACTTGAAAACGTGGCCAAATGTAACAAAGCACCAACACACTTAACTCATTTTCGTTTGACAGAACAAAAAAAATAGGCTATCCACAAACAGAAACATCTTACCGTACAAAGCAACATCGCGCTACCGGTAGCTAAATTTAATCTAACAGACATCGATTAAGAAAAATATGTTACAGATCAATGCACTTGCCTCGTGGTTTATTAATTTATGCTTTTTGAGATATGTCAGAATATAACCTACTTTTACCTCATCAGCTTTGTCAGTTAGCCTACTATTGTCAAAAAGATGTCTACTACAATCTAGAACGTATGGTGGCGTCCGACCCTGGGAAATTGCATCTTGCGATTTATGTTAAGTTGATTACTTTGCCTTTAAGTTCACAAGGCATCCATCTGCCAAGCGGGGAAAGCTCCGCCCTGATATTTCACCCACTGGTCCTCCTGCCACCAGAATGCCCGCGAGTGTCCTGAGCAACGCAAATCACACTTCAAATCCCACAATGCTCCTCCAGTGATAAAAGGACTTCAGTGACGCCTCAAGACCGGGGAATGTAGTTTTTCTCACTTTAATTTAGAATGACGTTCATTAAAATTTATATTTAAAAATTCTGTTTATGTCTAAGTTTTTTTCTGATTTGAGTAAGCAGAAAAGAAGAAGAAGAACAACAACAACAAAGGTGAGCATGTACAATGAAGAATTAGAGTAAGTGCTTATGTCAATAGCCTATTAAAGTATCTTTCCGCAGTCCGTCCACATAAAAATTCTCATAAAGTAGCCTAATAGGCAATTTAAATATATAAACCTTTTTTTTAAACACACACAAATTTGTCATACAAACACAAACCTTCAAGGTAAAAGACTGGGATTTGTGATTTTATTCAAATTGAAGTTATTATCCATGCATGGCATTCTAGTAAGTTATTAAAAATCAGTAAGTATTATTTTCAAATACATTGTTGTTGCATGAGCGTGTTTTTGTAATCTTTGTTTTGACCCGACTGAAGGATGTTATTGAGGTAAAGAGCAATCATCTCCTATAGTAGAAAATCAGAAAGAGGTGCTCACCTCAACTAACAAGAAAATAGTAAATCCTACATTTTCTATGAAGCATTTAAAAGACAATTAATTTTCTTTCTGATGATGGAAGTTTATAGCCACACTGACGGTGACCTCTATCACAACTGGAGAGAAAGCATTGACTGATGATTCACGGTCGCTGGAGTATAGGCTAGTGTTTATGCTTCTTCTGTTTACCATATGAGAGGGACATAACAGGATATGTGTTGTAAATAAATGTTTTTATGTCACTGTAAAAGACAGTTACACGACTCATACAGCAGAGCTCTTCAGTTCTACATTGTTCTCAAATTCACCTATAATTTCTGGTGTTAAGATGCAAGAATGTCTTTCCATTCAAGCAAATGTTTATGTGCGGCCAAGATGAACAAACAGTAGTTGAATTAGATACAGGTGAGAAATTAGAAGGTGCTTCCAAATGTTGTTTAGCTTTCATAATTTTTAAGAATTTTAAGCATTGTTATACAAATATACCCATACTCATTCTCACTTTCATATATTTGTAATATATATTATCTCTCTCTTGGTTTGCCAGTTGCAGTACTTGTATAAAATTATTAATAATATTCTTTTTAGCTAATTGAATTACTAGTTATGAAATATAAAAGCTAAATATATCAAATAAAATTTCAAGTTAATGATATGTGAATACATCAGAATCGTTAGTTCTTGTGATGGCTATTTCATTATAAGAATATGAATTTATTCCATTCAAGCAGGAATAGAGCAACTTTGTATTTTTGAGGAAAAAAAAAAGAATCACAACATATAACATGTCCAACTTTTGTTTAGCTTACATTCGACATCTATGCACAAACAGGTTTTTGTTTAAAAACATATTTAAAAAAAACATTTAAATTAATTTAAATTTTAAATTATAATGAAACCTAAATTGATTGAGCTTTAAACATCCATTCATTATCCAACAAAAGCTTTATAAGGCCATTTACACCACAATCACTGAATGTGACACCCTTACTCCACCGCTTAAAACAAAATGTGAGAATGCCTAAACTTTACAACTTAAAACTATATGCCTTTTAAACTTTAAAGCACGATTGTTTGGGGTTTTCGGATGGATGGACGGACGGAACACACAAGGTTGTAAACGTTTGCTTAGACATGTCACTTCTGAAGATACAGTTATGATAATAGGGAATATATAAAATGGTATGACACTAAAAGAGAGGTGAAGCATCTTAATCCCGCTCTATGTTTAGAGGCCCATTAGACAAAATTAGTCTGCATTATAGGACTAATAATCTGCACTCAGTAAATATCTGGGTAGAATTTTGATGTCTTAAACATCCTTTGGCATAATTGGAAATCAACAGGATATAATGTAGCTGTTCTTCCAAAGGTAGAAAGTCTTCTTATTTGCAAATGATTCAAATCACATTGGGTTAATGTGATGAACTCTGCTTGGACACCTATGAAATTGAGGAGAACTGGCTTCATATATCCACCAGAAATTACCCTGCAATTAGATGATTAAAAGTTATTACAAAAATTAAACTTTAGTTTACATCATTTCTTTGCAGATGCCACTTGGTTTGATATTTTGTGTTCTAATCCAATGACATTCACACATTTTAAATGTGTCGTAAGTGTCCAAATAGTAATATGGAGTGGATGGATGCACTGCTTCACAAATGTGTTGCATGAAAGGACCAAATTGACGCCGCAGATTTATTAGTTACAAGTTTTAATACTAAAATTTATTAGCATAAATACATTTTCTGCATTCTTGCATTCTTGGTCTAAAGCAACTTATCTGCATGTATTTCTTTAGTACAAGATATATCTTATCCTTTATGGCTGCATTACAGCAGTTTATTATTAATTAGAGATCATTTTCTAAATCTCTTCTGTATATTATACTGTACCCGCTTTTCTGTGCATTACAAAACCCATGCCAAACCCAACTAAACTATGCTCTAAACATGCAGATTTATATCAATATCACTTCTTATCATTATAAAGATTCCTTCAGATTCAACACAGAAATTATTTTTAAAAAAATTATCTTATTATAAGATTGTAAGTCATAAGCTCAACCTTAAATTGTAAAACGACTTAATTGTCAGTGTCTTTACATGCTGTTTTTTTCCACATTCCATTCTGTCTTTAACACATGACTATAATACTGTTATAAACATTTATGTATCATTTGTGTGTTGGTTACTTGTTTGTGTAAAGAGTTGGGTGTTTTTGGGCAATGTTAAGATGCAGATCTGTAAAATCTGAGTTTGTGTGTGTGTGTGTGTGTGTGTGTGTGTGTGTGTGTGTGTGTGTGTGTGTGTGTGTGTGTGTGTGTGTGTGTGTGTGTGTGTGTGTGTGTGTGTGTGTGTGTGTGTGTGTGTGTGATTGAGTGAGTGAGTGAGTGAGTGAGTGAGAGAGAGAGAGAGAGAGTGAGAGAGTGAGAGAGTGAGAGAGTGAGAGAGAGAGAGAGAGAGAGAGAGAGAGAGAGAGAGAGAGAGAGAGAGAGAGAGAGAGAGAGAGAGAGAGAGCACATTTTTTGACTCGCACAGAACCAAATCTGATATTTAGAAAATGTAACGGTCTGTTTGTTTGTTTTTTGTTCTTGTTTTTTCACATTGTGCAGGTGCACACTGAATTACTAGAGAGGGGCCATTCAGCTTTTCAGAATTTTATTGAGTCAAAGTTGAAAAGTTTGAGTTGAAAGATGGGGAAATATTTTACAGTCCTTTGTGGAAGTTTTTACTTTCTGTCCTGAACCCCAGTAGTTTAACAATATACATGTCATCTGTTGATATGGGATAAATGAACATCTATCAACCAAAGGGTAAATTAATATCTGTAAATATATTTATGAAATGAATTCTCCATAGCATACTTTATTCATCGTCTGTTTTGACTTTCTAAAAATAATATTTAATTCTAACTAAATATCTGTAGTCTTAGATGTTTTTATCATTACTAATATCCTTATCTGGATTATTTGAGATTATTGAAATTCCACATCTTGACATTTTAGATAATTGCATCGTCTTGTATATTTTTATAGGTAATGCATATTTGAGAAACATATAGCCTACAATGTAATAATAAGGCTATAGTTTATATTAGGCTACATAGTATGTTCATTACATTTGCTATGTTTGAGTCTGAATCCTCCATTACATAATGTTTTCCCATTTCACAAAATCCATATGAAATAAAAGCAGGCTATAATATATAAATAGATTTAGTCTACTTATATTTATGATCAATGGTTTAACGTTTCATATGCTATATGGGTTACATGTAAGTTGCAAATGGGTATAATAATGTTCTTAAAATATCTATTGCCAAAAATTAAGTAAAAAGAGTTTTAATGACTGTTAATCCAGAGTGTTTTTCAGTTGTGTCAAATTTACAATGCGTAGTACTTGTTAGCTTATCCTATTTAAAAATACATATATTTTAGTAAATTTGTGTCATATCCTTCAAGTAGTCTCTCCAGCACACATGACAAGAGCACGCACTCCGAAGTACAATGCGCCTCATGAGAACATTCCAGTTTGGTAAAGTCAGTTTGGAATTTGAATAGCACAGAAGAACCGCCTCTCTATGATTGGACGAGATCAAAACCTCTGGGTGGAATTTGCTTGTCACTCAACGATATTCTCAGCCCCTGATTGGCCGAAGGGAAAGTGGGCGTAAAGTTCTTCGCCATATATATACTATGGCAGCAAGCGCAGGCTAATGATTGCCTTCGCTCACACGTTGAGGCAGAAACGACCACGTTCAATGTTTCTCCACAGAGCTGACTTAAGCCTTCGTCCCCGAACGAAATATCGTGATTCTGACTAAAAGAAAGTTAGTTACTTTCGTCAGAGCGGTGGGAAAACATCACGACCCCGACCATGATAAACACCATGGAGTGTGCAGTGGATGCACAAAGTCTAATTTCGATATCATTACGAAAAATCCACAACTCCCGTACGCAGAGAGGAGGAATCAAGCTGCACAAAAACCTGCTGGTTTCCTATGTACTGAGGAACGCCAGGCAAGTCTACATGAACGAGAAGTACGCCGAGATCTACAGGATGCAGCAGTACGAGGAGGTGATGACCGTCTGCAACGAGATCCAGGAGCTGAACCCGCTCGATTTGATGGAGGACTGCGAGGAGCAGACGGGGGACTGCTGCGGCAGCGCGAGCGAGTCAGCGAGCCTCTGCGGCGCGCTCTTGCCCGTCAGTCACCAGGTTCCTCCGGTGCAGCACATCCAGCCCAGCAGCGCCTGCTCGGTGCCCATGGCTCTCCAAAACGAAGAGGTCTGCAAAGCTCCGGATCCCTCGTTCTACCGCAGCTGCTGCGCGGAAGCCTACCCCGTTTCCAACTGTGACTTTTCGCCGGTAAACAACATGCACTGCAACAAAACTACAGTGCTCGATTTGGACACGCATGTCGTTACCACAGTAGAGAACGGGTATTTGCATCAGGACTGCTGCGCTTCGCTCCAACAGTGCTGCCAGGGCGCACAGAGCCCAGCCAAGAAACGCAAGCTTGACTTTGGTTACTACGTGTCCGAGATCGAGGA